GGTTCCCAATGTTTGGTTCATTTTAAAACCCTTTAATGTTTAAAGGAAACATTTTTCTGTATCCTGATTAAAGATGGAGTTTCCCAATAACCTGAGGAGTGAGTCCATCAGTTCTGCTCACCAAAACCTATGCAAACCCACATTGGCAATGTTCTCACCGCTGCTGTAATTGCATTCTGCCCTTCTAAATTGCACCTCCATTTTTTATTGAGTATGATATCATCTTTGTTTCCTGCCCTACCACGCTTTGTAACTGCCATTTTACACCCCAGAGGTGACTCTATGTAAGGCCCTATTATTATTTATTAAAACCACTGTTGAATAATTTAGTTCAACTGGATCTACAAGAGCAAATGTCAACCATTATACAGCACATTTTGCTGCACGATTTTTCAGCTGTAGCAGTACTACAAATCTTGGGGCTGTAATATGGTGTTTCTGATAACTATTCCTGGAAGCAAGTCATAAAAGATTGCTGTGTAGTTCCTTGCACCACATGTTACTACCAAGTTAATAAAAACAGATGTCATTCTGACAATGAGCTGGCTAAACATGAGATACTGTAGCTCATTATCCCGTGGAAGTCTTCTGTCATATTTGATGACATTTTGTACATACCTCGAAGGTGTCTGGATAATGGATCTGTGGCACAACAATGATGGTGTGCTTTACAGGGGACAGTCAAGGACCCAAGTAAAGCACCAAGATGAACTTGCTTTGATGTGTTGTCAGGGTAGATGAAACTAAGACCACATCTGGGGTAATGAAAAATGCGCAATTATCCTAGGGGATTTTACTCAGCATTGTTGGGAAGACATGTAATTACATTTTATGCTATGCCTGGCTACACTTCTGGAACTCTTCAATTTAGGTTTGATTATCTGATGATTACTAAAATTTCAAATTTCACTTCTTATTTTCTTGCATTTTTAGCTGGTACATTTGCCAAGACTGCTTTCCCCCAATGAGGGAAGAGAACCCACAGGTACAAACAAGCAATGCCTTTGGCAGGTGTCATGGAAAGCAGGGGTCAAAATGTTGTCAGAAAGGATTATAATCATTATGATTCACAATCATATATATAGTATTGTACTGTCAACTGGCAGGGCCAGAGTCTCTGGGACACCAAGGTAGCTTTGATCAGGATAGTGTAGGATTCCCCATCTGATGAAGTGGGTTCTAGCCAACGAAAGCTTATGCCCAAATAAATTTGTTATTTAGTCTCTAAGGTTCCACAAGGACTCCTCGTTGTTTTTGCTGATACAGAATAACACGGTTACCACTCTGAAAGCACTACATATGGTGATCCCTGGGCAGTACAGAGCTGCCAGTGGCTTCTCTACCGCATGTGTACACCCTGCCCCCCAACATAGCGTCATATTCAAGGGAAAGGGGAGGGGGGTGTTCAGAAAACCCCTGCTCCCTGATGATTCTTGGCTATAGGATTAGCCCTGGGAGCCATTGGTGTTGTTTACAGTTGCTTTCATGGTGTTCTAACCCTGGGGTGGGCAAACTTTTTGTCCCAAGGGCCACATCCGGGAATAGAAATTGTATGGCGGGCCATGAATGCTCACAACATTAGGGTTTGGGTGGGGGAGAAGAGGAGGGCTCTGGTTTGGGGTGGGGGCTCCAGGGTGGGGTCAGAAATGAGGAGTTCAGGGTGCGGGAGGGGACTCCGGACTGGGGCAGGGGGCTGGGGCAGTGGGGAGAGGTTCAGGGGTGCAGGCTCTAGGCGGCGCTTACCTCAAGCGGCTCCCGGAAGCAGCAGCATGTCCCTTCTCCAGCTCCTGCATGGCCAGGCAGTTCTGCACGCTGCCCCATCTGCAGGCACCACCCCTGCAGCTCTCATTGGAGCACCGGGAGGGGGCCCCTGGAATGGGGCCATTGGAGCGTGTAGGAGCTGGAGGGGGGCTGTGCGGCTGCTTCTGGGAGCCGTGTGGAGCGGCCCCCAACCCTGCTCCCTGGCTGGAGTGCCAGAGTGGGGAAACCCCAGACCCCATTCCCCAGCAGGAGCTCAAGGGCCGGATCCGGCCTGCGGGCCGTAGTTTGCCCATCCCTGTTCTAACCTGTGCCAGGAGACTATACCAGTGCTAAGATAGCTTAGTATTGGAAGCCTGTAGAGATATCTTAAACCCACTTTTGACTTTTGTCCTGTGTCAAGCTCAGTTTGATTAGATCAAAGGATCAAACCCATCGTGTGAGACACATTCCTTTCCACAAAGACAGTCAAGACAAAAGGAAACAAGATATGGAGCAAGTGTTCAGGTACGGAAAGATGTATGGGCTACTGGAGAGAAGATGGCGGGAAAGGATTCAGTGAGTGTTCAGGAGAGATTTGAAGAGAAGGTGGTTGGCAGACAAAACGCAGGGGCAGAATGAATAAAGAAGCGAAGCCACAGGTCAGAAGAGAGGAATGAGATGAGTGTAAGGAATAAATAGTGGGAAGTGAAAGCAAAGATGTAGATGGAACCAAGATCATGTAAGGCCTTGAAACTGAGGACAAGGGCTTGAATTTGATGCGTTAAGAGGCAAGGTGATTACTGGCCATTTAGATGGGCTAAATAGGGAGAGGCAGGAAGGCTGGAGGGGGGGTGTTGCTGAATTCATTTATTTTTCAATTACTGCGCATGGTCAGTGTGGGGGGAACGGCACATCCTTACCACCAGAGGAGAAACCAATACACAAGATGAAATGTAAATCAGCAACATGGCTGGTCCCATCTTTGTAAAGCCGAGCGCTCAATAGAACAGCGAGTGTGTGGTTCCTCCTACAGCTCCTTATTTTGGCAAAATGACTGAACACATTTGCAAAACTGGGTAAGACTGTGGCCACCCCAGCTGGGCTGTGCAAGGTGGGGAGAGCACAGGAGTCAGGCACGATGTGGTCCTGGCAGTCTCCTGAGTGCAAGGACTATAAGCAAAGTGCATTAAAGTGAATGGGAATCTTTCAGGCCTCAAATAAGGTGCGTGCCAGGCAGCTCTAGTCTGTTCAGTCAGCAGAGAGTCAGAGAAGAGGCTAGGCCCAGAGGGAAGTGGATGCTGCATCCGTGGCATAGCAGCTGAAATCTCCCTGCACCCACCTGTGCTCCTTTAAGTACAGCCTGAGGCGCAATGTCACCCAGGGCTCCCAGACAACATCCAAAGTGTGGCCCTAAAAGGCACAACGCCCCTGTCTGCCACCTTAGTATTGCAATGTTCCAAAATAGGCTGGACTTTTCCTCCCCCACCTCCACTGTAATGTGACTTATTCAAATTGCCTTCTGAGGAAAGATGAAGAGAGTTAAATATGGAGCGTCCGGCTAAGCAACAGTTAAGTGAGGGCTTGATACGTCTGAATGCTTGAATGGCTGGAGAGGAATTACTGTATTTAACGTGGAAAAAGAACCTATAACTTAGAGCAAGGGGATGCATTTTAAAAAGGGACATTTACAGGATAAACTTCCTGACATTAAGGTCTCTTAGACCTGGGGCATGTATCTCAGCAGGCCTCCAAAGCTTTAAGATGTGCATCTTAGATTTGTTCTTTATGTTAAGCTTCCTTTCTCCCGTGAGAAGGATGAAGTAAGATTGGATATATTTGCTACTGTCTGTGTGTGTTTAATACCAGGCCCATCATCATGGTACCTGAGTGCCTCATATTCTGTAACAGCCCAAATCATCTTCCAAGCAGCCAACCTGGGTGTGGGACAGGTCAAGGGGAGAGGAGGAGTCCACTGCGGGTCAAAGAACAGGAGTGCCTCAGCTCAGCTATGGAGGTGTTGCCTCTGAGAGCGAGATAACAGTTCCTCTTCCATGACCGATTTGTCTTATCCACTGAGGCTGCTAATAAGGGCACTAGTTAATGCCAAGTGCTATGCTTTTTTTTTCAGAATCAAGTACTTGACCACGATGGACTATTAATACGATCAAACTCATTTAACAGAGGATACGGAACAAATATCAGTTTACAGAGCCTTTCAGCTGCTACTAATGTGGGCTGGATTTGAGTGAGCAACGGAGATACCATTACTTTTAATGATTATTATTTGTTTTTTTCATACGTAGTACCCTAGGGGATGCATGGCAAATAACTGGCACCTATAAGTGGCACAAGGTTCTCTTACCCCATTACTAATCTCCTGAGCCATTACTCCCCCATTTAATTTTTAAATGCAATGGGTATGAAAGCATTGTGACTGTCTTTCTCTTTGCACAGGGGCTAACTGAATTGAAAGAAGCATGCAAACAGCTAACAGATAATTTTCTCACTTCACCCAATGTCAAACAGTTTGCAAAGGAACACACAGATGATACAAGCATCTAGCACAGAGGTGGGCAAACTACGGCCTGTGGGTCACATTCAGCCCGCGGGACCATCTTGCCCAGTCCCTGAACTCCTGGCTGGGGAGGCTAGCCCCCGGCTGGGGAGGCTAGCGTGTGGGCAGCGCTCTGGACGGCAGGGTTGCACGCTCTTGCAGAGCAGCGCGGCAGTGTGTCTGGCTCCGGCTGGGCGGTGCAGCTGCCAGACATGCTGCTCTGAGCGGAATGGTAAGGGGGCCAGGGCCAGGGGGTTGGATAAAGGGCGGAGGTTTGGGGGGGGCAGTCAGGGGACGGGGAACGGGGGGTGGGGATTGGATAAGCGTGGGAGTCCCAGATGGCCTGTCAGGGGCCGGGGGTGTGGATAGAGGTCAGGGGGCAATCAGGGGACAGGGAGCAGGGGGGCTTGGATAGGCGGGGGAGTCCCGGGGGGCCTGGTCAGGGAGGCGGGGGTGTGGGATACGGGGTCGGGGGGCAGGTCAGGGGGA